CCTGCGCTGCTCAAGGGGTACTTATTTATTTGTAAAATTCTTTTCTTTATTTGGTTCCATTTTCTTCTGATTTACATGTAGCAGCTGTGCACCGTCACTGCTGTAACGTTTAAGGAGCAGTGAGTGGGCAGGTATGGAAAAATCCCTATTAAGTGTCTGAGAAAGCAGTCGTGACTATTCGATGAAGGATCCCACAGGAGGTTGAGAACGTTTTCCATGTAACTTGGACCCAAGCAACCGTCAGCAACCTTCGGCTCATGAAACCTGCAAATGCAAACTGAGCTGTCAGGCTGCAGGGCGCCGGCCCACACCCGCCATGCAAAGTGGAATTTCCTCCCCCGGGCATTCCTGCGGCTGACCTGCCAAGGCCCACTGAAACCCGACGCCCAGGCCTGCCTCTCCGGAGCGGGGCCTGGCACTGAACGCTCCATCTGGGCACACCCCAAGCCACCGGGCCAGCTGCTCTTTCTCCCTGGTTCCCTTTGGCCAGAAGAATCCTGCTCCTGACCCACCTGTGGTCTCACAGAGCCTGCCCGCCCCCACCCCCCCCCCAATCCAGAGCCACCGGGGGGGGGGGGCATGGCAAAGGGCCAACAACTTGGCGGAGAGAAGATGACAACAAAAGGAACAGCTAGCAGGGCTCTGGCAGCTTTTGAAAAGGGGTCATTTAATCCCGAAGGAGGAAACTGCTGCATTTTGGGCAGATTCTCAACCCTCGGGCGGAAGAAAACATGGAGCAGTTAGACACCAGCTTCCTCGCTGTGTCCCTCCTCCCCTAGTCACACGTGGGGGAATTCTGCCCCCCAACCGCCCTCAGGAGGGACACCCCACATGCCTTTTGAGAACAGTGGACAGCAGCATCTTCTCTGAAAATGGATTCTGACAAGTTCCTTGTTTCCCAAACTGCTGCTCTGAGGAACCCCCCCACCCCCAAACAAGGTGCAAACAAACGTGCAACACCCACCCTCCGGATGCTGTCCAATCTCTGGATCCACTCCTGCTCCAAGATTCTCCGGTTTGAGGCTCACCGAGGGGTCATTCCGCCCAGTGTCCTGGGTGGAGACCTGGAGGGATGTCCTGATGGACCAAGCCAGGCACCTGAGCAAAGTGCGGGATCGAGAGGCGGGGACCCCTGATTCTGGTCCCGGCGCAGGCACCGCCCCTCTGCTCTCTGGGCCCACGGTACCTGTTCCTTCAAAGGGGCACATTAACTCTTACCCTGCCCACCTCACAGCTCATGTGGGGCCCAAACAAGACTGTGGGGCACACGCTGTGCCTTTAAACGAACGGATGGCTGTATCCACGGAAACGAGTCTCCAGACGGTGGGGCCCTTTGCACAAATGGCCCCGGGCCCGGACCCCGGGGGCCAGCGAGGGGCGTGGGAAGGGTGTGAGCCCACAGGACTTCCGGAGGGTCCTGGTCCTCCGTGTGCAGAGCACTAGGTCAGGCGCTGGGGGGGACCCAGCTGACAGAAGTTCTCGAGCTCCCACAGATGAGGGGCCCCTCCTTCTGTGGCAGGTCCAGGTGTGAGATCCCCTGTGACAGACAGGGATGAGGATGGCCAGTTCTAAACGGGGCGGCGGTCAGGGCAAGAACGGAGGCACCTGCTGGGAGGGAGCTGCCGGCTACCCTTGGAGCCAGCCCACCTGGCCT